CCGGTGCCGGAAATGAATGCCGTAGATAAGGCCACGTAATAACCCTACACTTGAATAACACCCATTGGAAAATCTTGCTACTTTGGGTCGTAATGTTAGAATAGATCTCAAAAGATACGTTTGGAAGTGCAATTTCACTGCTCCTATATACGGTCGTTATCGCTGCAAACGAGAGAAAGTGTGAAGGTGCATCGAGTGGAGTGCAGCCAGGGTGGCTCTTTCCCCGCCTGTTCCGTGCTTACAAGGGCATGTGGGGAAGGCTGCCCAGACTTGTTCCAATGCACTTCCTCTCATACGCCCTCTGTGCAGGGATAATGACTGTGCTGCAAAACAGTTGTACCAATAAAAAAGTGAAAAGGTTTTGAGCGGATAAAATGCCCACATGCGGAGTCGTTTCCGCTGCAGAGTGTGGGTGGTTGGGTTCGGCCGTCCAACCCGTTATTCACAGACTATTGACTCTCGCCGCCTCAACAGTTGATGAGAAACGGGCTAGCGCCGCTGCAAACCGCCACCCCCCTCCCTGACACGCCTCGTGTCTACAGCAAAACAGCTGTGGATGAGCACTAGAAATCGGAAATCCAATGAATGTAGAATTTTGGGGGTCGTGTAAGTTTCCCGTAGTTCATATTATATACACCGTGCTCCTCGTATACGCAGTGGAGGTGCGATAGAAGTATTGAACCCATTGCTCTGACCCTTTGGTGTCGCTTTAGTCAAGCTTTATCGGGTCGGCGATAATCCTTGGAGAGTTGGTGACCTGACCAGGACACTTGCACAGCTAAATTTTGCCGCAATGAAATGTCAAAGCAGAAACCATTTTTTACTCCTTTCTTGGCGCTGCTAAAGCCTGTGTGGGAACCCACGGGTCAGTGCATGTACCAATAAAATATGAGAAATCTTCCTGAAAAGCGCTCTACGTTCTAAATGACCTCCCTGGTAAGCAAGACTCTTCTACTGTAGTCGTTTGATGGGCTGTAAAACATTGTGTAGTTTGCTCATGATTAATTATTTCGTGTGATAATCACTTTTTTCTCAAGTATAAAACGTGTACTTGAAAGGGTGGCAGCGTTCAACTTCAATGATAAGTGCGAATGTCCCTACGCTGGTGGAATGGCTCTGTGGAGTGAAGATCGTGATATCAGTGGGAGTTGCTAATTTAATCTTCTTCTTCTTCTTCTTCTCCCTAGCATTAGCCCCGCGCCGTCGTAGGCTTCCGCTGTTCTTGTTAGACGTCGCCGCTTGTTATGCACTGCATCTTCTGCGATGGCACCGACTTCAGTGAGGTCCTTCTTCAAGACGCCCTCTATCTTTTCTTTGGGACTCCTCGTGGTCTCTTGCCCTAGACCTCGAATTCGAATACCTTCCTTACTTGCGTGGTCTGTCTGTTTACGTGCCCATAACCTCACAGTCGCTGCTCTCCTTCAGCTGGATAGGAGCCGTCTGTGTGACCGCTCTGACGTCCTCGTTTCTGACTCTGTCGAGTCGTGTCCAGCCGCAGGCCCATCTCAGCAGTCCTCAGTTTAGTATCGTAGACTTTACAGAAACGTCGAGAACGACTCAGGTGAGGCTCAGCTTATTTTTAGCGTTGAACGAACATGCGGCGAAGCGTA